GTGGATCTACTCCTCTCCCTTACCACCAGCTTATCTGTTCTGTAACACCTATTCCTTAATTACGCCCACATTCCTTAATTAGCCCACAAGACCCTTGCCTCACTAGTGTCTGTGTTCACCAGACTGCCCATTTCCTTGTTGTGCCTCACTAGGTTTCTGTCTGTCCTTCATACAGCCTAAGTTCATATTTGCTTTGAGAACTCAGCACGTATCTGTTGCCATTCATCAGTGTTGCTTCTCCCTGCTTCTTCATATCACCTATGTAAAGGACATTGCAGTAGTTTATCAGAATTTTATCATCATTTGCTTAATAGCCATCTATTTCCCAAAATACACATACATGCTTAGATGCACTCTCAGATATAAATACTAAGCATTCAGGTACCCTCTTTGTTAATAATACATTATACCTCTCGTTATCTGACTCTCATTGGTACCCAGTATGCGCTTATTGGATGAGTTAATAAATGAGCAGCAGGAGCGCTCAGGCTGGGTGCTCTGTCACTGGTGTATAGGTTTGTCCTCTGGCTGTGTTCATATGCACACATGACTTTTGACAGACATGAAGTTGTATCTTTACCTGTGGAGGCTAGCCTTCAAGCCACATTCTTACCTAGAAAAATGAGGCACAGACAAAATCACATTAGATGCAAATATGATCCTGTGCTACAACTAGTTTAGAAGTGAATTTGTCTTCATGCCCCAATCTCCTGGGAGATATTTCAGACTACTGAAGAGATGTACAAGTTAACCTTAGTTTGAGTGAAACATATCTATATATATATTTACACACATACATAGACACATATGTGCATGTACATAATTATATATACATATACAGACATACATATTTACATATATATATATATTTACACACTTACAAACACACAGGACTTTTCTCCTGGATAAGTCTAGGCATTAACAAGATAAAAGACAGTATCAGAGCTAGCTAGCATGCTCACAGAAAATAAAAAGGCCAACAATATAGTAAATACAGCATTAATCTCAAATCAAGTAGTCCTCATAATTGACCTTGGGAAGAAATATAAAGTGAAGTTAAGTCTAATGGGGGCGAATCCAAAAAGCTTCCAAATTAAAGTGCATGTAGCCCATTAATTTAAGTCCTAATGTGCCATATAGTGATAGCTCAGTGCAGCATAATGTCTAGAATGTAGTCTCAGCCTGATGCTTTACTTTTATCTTCCATATTTAGGGAAGAGTAGATGATTTTAAAAGAGATGCAGAGGTACAGTTTGGATGAAAGGAAGTTTTACAAACTCATTCCATATTTGTCATTTTGTGTTAAACTGGATCTACGTGAGGCATTTATTAGGGAAGTGAGAAAGGGTGCTAACATTTAAAATGTAGCCCAAACTATTTCTTGTAGATTTCATTTGCACACTCTGGTTATGGCAAAGCCCTATCTCTTCAGTTACACTCAAGCTTTCCAGGTCCTCATGTCAGAGATCCATTAACACAGCATCTTAGAAACCAACAGGTGACACATAATCTGTTTGCATGCATTCGTGGGTTTGTGTGCAAAGCATATGTGTTTTTTTTCTGCAGGAGAAATGTTTTGTCCTTTTATCAAGTTCTCTCAATGGGACAGGCTGACAAGAAAATAATATCCTCCAGTTTAGGAAAAAGGAATAAGGGAAGACATTAAAACAGACTTCCAGGGACTCCAGAATGACTCCAAGAGGGCTCACAGCATCTCCTTAGTCATCCTGTAGTGAGGCTCATCCTGGGGTGCTGAGACCTTGGGAAGAGCAGGCTCAAGGGAAAAGAGGCTAGAACTTCAAGGGTGAGAAACTGACTTTACCTATGAAATGAATTTGTGACCATGGACCGATCCCACAATCTGGATTTGCTACTCACTTGAGGAAGCAGTACAGAGTGGCCGTTTGAAGAGGGATTGTAACACTCAGGGTAAACTCAGACATACTTTCTATTGAATGATTTGCTTTTACACTTAATATATCTACTTCCCTCACTAAGAGGCAAAGGAAGCCAAAATGTCATCAAAATGTAAAAATAGAAATTAACAATTCCCCATTAATTCTACTTATGAAGGTTCATTTGAAAGTGAAAAGCTTTAAATTTTATCTTGATTAAAAAGAAACCCTTGTGTATTACAGTGGAATATTACTCAGCAATCAAAAAGATAAACACATGCCATTTGCAGCAACATGCATGGAGTTGCAATGAATCATGCTCAGTGAAATAAGCCAGAAAGAAAAAGAAAAATATCAGATGGTTTCACTTATTGTAGGAATGCAGAAGACCCAAATAAGGGACCAAGGGGAAAAAGTAATTATAATAAAGTAAAAATCAAAGTCAACAGGCAACTATAAACCAGAGACATTCCACAGTGAGGGAGGAGGGAGTAAAATCAAAACAGGGATGGGAAGAGCACAAGGGACTCTGGTGATGGTACATGCGTGAATTGGTGGTGGGAATTTCACAGGGACTATACCCGGCATGATAAAGCATACATTGTATAAAAATGAAAAACTATGAAAAAATATATAAGGCAATTTTAAACAGAAAAAAGCAAGTCTAAACAAGCTAAAATAAAAAAATAAAGTTTTTGACTACTTGGTGTCTCAGTTACTGAGAAAAATGGCTTTAACCAACCTTTAGAAGAAAGATTATATGTTGTCATTATTCCCCTTATTCTTGATTTTGGCATTATGTCGTTTAAGGATTGTTAAATGTTTTAGATGAAATGTTTCTTTTATCATTAATGACCCTCTTCATGTGTAGTTATTTTCATTCATAGCTAAGGTTATTTTGTCTGATATTAACATTGTTATACTAGTTAGTTTGGATTAGTATTTGCATCATATTGTTTTTTTACATTACCTGTTTCAATTTTTTTGTATAACTATGTCTTTCATTCAGTGGGTTATTCTATAAGTAAATACATTTTTCACAGTTTTACAATAGTCAAAAAAATTCCTTGCATATTATAAATAAAAAATAAAAATAAAAAATACAAAGGGAGAAGCAAATCCTCCCTGAATTCTAACTTTTTTCTTTTGATGCTAGCACGTGTTCACACCAAAAATGAACTGTTGCTACACATGCTCATTTATACTTGAGATTCACAGTGAAAAGCAAATTCCAGTGCACCTGCCAGAGAATGGGGATTGTATCTGTCATTAACATTTGCTGACTGGAAAGCTTCAGGATGTCTCCAGGGAGGGGGAACAAAAGGGCAAAGGTATTGAGCTTCTGGAAGCAGAAACTAGATACCTGAGCCTGAGAACCTAATTCACTATTCTGAGCAGCATTGCTGGAAATTGGCAAAACCAGGCTGTGCTCTCCAGGGCTGAGCTGAGCACTTTGTCCTGGAAAGAGAGGGTGTTTCTCACCACCCCTCCCCAACAACTGTTTTCAGGATAGTCACCTTGAGTCTGAATGAATTAAACCTTCCACACACTTGTACCAAGACTACTTTCCAATTTAGAATATAGTAATCAGGTTTCTCCTGAAGGCACACCAAGTATCATTTTAAGTGGTCTGTCTTCATTAAATAAGTGCCGCATTTACCTCAACTTTGAATCAGATCAAAACCCATATTCAGAATCGTCAATCTGTAAATTATCAAGGACAAAGAAAATTTTTGTCCTCCTCAGGCTTTTTTCAGATACTTATTACAAGATAAGAACTAAAGGAGAGGAATAGGAGGACCTGACAGTTAAATTAAAGGACCCTTGGAAAATACCTTTGGGATGGGAATAAAGATAGACAGCACCTCACCACAGGGAGCAAGGAAGAGACCCTTGATGGGGTTGACTGCAGAGTGGTGGAAAATGTTGATGCTGTGAAGAACTATTAGGAACCAGGGATGTCTTAGGTCAAAAGTCTTAGTAAACTACTTAAAAATCAAAAGCTATACAGGATCCATGGGCGAGAGGTGCTGCTTCCTGTCCCCCACCTGTTTCTATAGTACTCTAAGCAGCAAATAGGGGGGTGTGCTGTCTCTCAGTCAAGGGGAAGTGTGCCAGGGTTTTTGTTTTGAATGGGATAGCTAAACATCTGGGCCTGCCACATCTTTTATTGGAAAAAATAAGAACTGAAATTATTTTGTTTCCCACCTCCCACTCGGTTTTACTCTCCATTCAGCCACCATTCAAACAAAGAGCATGTCAAAAATTGGGAGTCCTTTTGCTTAGCAGGTTTTAAGGAACAGGAACCTGTTTATTCTACTGAAATTTAAATGAAACTCTTCCCCTTTGAATTCTATTTGGATTTGGACCAGTTGCAAATCTAAAAAGACTGACCCCTGAGGTCAACTCATATGTAAAATTTGAGCTTGGTTTTCAACCAACAGTAATGTCAAGAGAGCAAAAGGTGAAATGTGATGTCTGAGAAATTGATTAGCTGAGAATTATGAAAGCTTTTCTTATAAGAGTTATTTATATACTTGTAAGTGCAAGTGCACATATAAATCTAAGTAGATTTTTAAAAGATCTTGTCCCTTTTAGTATAGCCTGGAAGAACTGATAGCAAGCCTTTAGATGGGAATTGGATGCTTCATTATTTATTATTACAAGATACAAGATGTAGAATCCCAAGATGCATTTCTATCCTGATAACCTCTCTTTGGAACATTTCCCTTTAAACCACTCAGTTTGTGTTGCATGTTTTGCCCAAAAATGAGGATGTGAGGACTGATATACCTTGTAATAAACGAGCCCAGTGTTTTAGCCAAGAACCCATGATGGAAATTGGATTTGTTTCCCACTACAGCCCAGAGAGCAGCGTGGTTTGTGATTATTCTTTCCATCTGGCCCACCCCTCTCTCTGTCTGCCAATCACCCAGGGCTTTATCTGCATTCAGTATTAGCTGGAGAAAGGAGGAAGCCAAAATGTTGATATATTTATGTATGTGTGTGCAGAAGTGCTGAACAAAGGCAAAATGATGGAAAACACCCACTTGAAGAACCAATAATAATCTTCTCTTCTTGCTTTTCTCACTTGCTTACTTTCAGCAACCACTGGAAAGAAAAGACAGCCAGAATAGTTCTCAGCACAGTGTTTCCAGCCACCGAAGCCTGCACACAGCCTCCCCAAGCCACAACACGCAGGTACTCCCTGAGTACCCACCTGCAGAGGACTCTGCTCCAGATCAGACCGACAGCTCTGGGCAGAAAAAACCAGATCCTTTTAAAATCTGGGCCCAGTCCAGGAGCATGTATGAAAACCGACGTGAGTAACACCCTGATTTCTGTCTTCCTGAGACCCCTCCCAAGGCCCCCACCCCACTTTCTCTTGAGCCTTAGTGAAAATAGATTGTCAGCCTGTGAATGAGTAGAGGTAAATCAAGGTGAAAGGTGAAACTTTCTCAGAGCAGCGATAGAATCTGCTGGATATTCACAGAGGCTCCATTATGTCTTCGGTTTAGGGACCCATCATATAAGAGTCTGGATAAAATTGGATTATTTTTTGCTTTCAATTAAAATAAGTAGCAGATAAGAGCTGCTGTCTCATTAATTCTTCCAAGTGGAGAGTGTGGCATGGTCTGAGCTAAGGTGAAACAGCTCTGGTACATAACAGAACAAATATGACTGGATGCAGGAGTTATGAGAAGAAATTGTATGTGCTCAGTGCTCTCTTAGTGTTTAGACTGATTTTTTCACCATTATCAGTCTTTGTAACTACTCCCCTTACCAACAGCAACAAAACTATGATTGGTGTGTGCTTTAATGAGTTACACTGCGATTGTGTTTCTTTGGCTTTACCTTTTTAAAATATATGAAGTAGTGATGCCACATTTCATGACTTCTTGACCCTTATAAGCCTAAGATTGCCTTCATCATGTTTATTTTTATTTTTATTATGAGATGATTTCAAAGACTATTCACAGATAAAATTCCCCATACATAACATTTTACCATTACCAATCAAGGTCCTCACGCCCCCCAAATTCTTTCCCCTTAGGAGATGCAAATAAGACTCTTTTTTTGGCTGATGCTATACCTGACACTTTCCCATGAGGATGCTTGATTAGAATAAACCCACTGTGATGAACATACACTTTGTTTAGTCTTGTTTAGTCCTTTTGGTGTGGAATGGGAGAGAATGTTTAATGAGGGAAGAGTCCCAGGTTGGTCAAAGATCTGACTAAATTGAGGAGAGAAGACTTTGCCCATCCTCGTTGCCCCTGCCCCCTCAACACAGGTTTCCTTTGTGGCCACAACTGTAGAGGCCCTGACCCCTGGGAGTCGAGCATGAAGGTGGTAGGAGAAGTGAGATGTGCCCACCCACTTAGACTTGGCTCGGAATATTTCCTTTGCTGGCGAAAGCAACTCCCCTGTCACCCAAGCAAAACAGGAGTGTGAGACCGCATCCTTGCCTGAGAAGTAAGGTTGTCTGAATTGTTGTACTACTGAGTGAAATGCAGCAGTGAGAGGATACACGGCAAGTCTGGAGTCTTGCTCTTTACCAGAGTTTAGAAACCACTCAGGGCTTCCTCTGTCCTTTTCTTCCAGGGAGAAATATCATTGCTTCTTTCTAGACTATGTGAAATTAAATAGGTTGTTTTGGTTAAGGGTTCATACACTGACAAAAGCCAGATAATATCAGAAGGGATTTATGTAGTCCCTGTTTGCCTGACTCAAGGTCAAAGGAAATGAGGTTCTATTTGGAACATCTCTTATAAGCAATAGTTGGTAAGTACCTAGGGTCTGTTCCCACTGTGTTCTCATGCGTTGTAGTGATTTTACTGAAGAAATGTTTTCTAAAGAGGAATATTTTCACATTTCTCTCGAATCATATGGCTCTTCCAGTCAATGACCCAGCTTTATTTGATGCCGAGATAATTTACTTTATTGAATGTGTTCCTGCTTTTCTCAATACAGGACACATTTATGACTGAGTTTCCCTGTAGAAATCTTCTTGTATAAAATAAACTTTTCCCAAGTGCTGGTGGAACATCAAAGCTTGACAGAAAATTCTAGTGCTTCCGTCTAATAGGAACCCCTAGCTCAAATGAAAGAAGCAAAATTTCTTTTTTTTTTCTTTTTTACATATCTGTTACATTATTGTTCATTTTAAAACAATGTTTACTTCACCCTCCCCCCTCCCATCATCACTGTAGCTTCCCATATTCCTCCCTCATTCTGTCCATCTCCCCTGTAGGATCTCTTTGGTTTATAATTGTCTGTTTGTTTTTGTATTGTTTTGTATTATAATATCAATACACTTTCCCCTCTGTCTTACTTGGTTCTCTTAAATTCCTCCTATAAGTGAAACCATGCAGTATTTTTCTTTTTCTTTCTATTTCACTGAGCATAGTCCCTTCCAGCTTCATCTATTTTGCTGTGAATGTCATGATTTTTTCTTTTTGATTGCTGAATAGTATTCCATTATATATATGTATATATCACACAAATATATACATATACATACATACATACATGCATGCATGCATACATACATACATATACCCCACATCTTCTTGATCCAGTCACCTTGTTTTGGGCATTTGGGTTGTTTCCAGGATTTACCTATTTTAAGCAGCACTGTGATAAGCATAAAGGTGCATGTGTCTTTTGAGTAAAATGTTTTTGTGTCCTTTAAATTTCTTAAGAATTTAGCACTGAATCCAATTTTTTTTTTAAAGATTTATTTATTCGTACAGAACTGGGGTACAGGTCAGAGATGCAGAGGGTGAGAGGCTTCACCAGAGACAGAGTGGGGAACAGAAACGGCAGATCAAGAAGTACTGAGGGGAGCAGCGGGCGGGTCAGGAGAGGTCTGCCTCGCCATGTGGATCACCTCCCGGGCAGGCGGGAAGCGAACTCATGCGGAAGTGGTTTAAGCTTCTTTGTGCTGTTCTTTAACCCGCTGCGCCACCAGGGAGGGCCCTGAATCCAATTTTTTAACAGGTTTTCATCAGGGGCTTCCCTCATCTTCTAGGGGTTACATCTTAGCTCTGTCACCACTGCAGCCTGAGTTCGATTCCCAGCCAGAGAGGTTACCACATGGGGTAGCAGACCTTTCCTGTCTCGCCTGCTGCTCCCCTCAGCAATATATTTCAATCAATCCACCTTTTCTGCTCCCTGCTCTGTCTCTGATGAATTCTTTCACCCCCCCCCGCCCCATACCTCTAGCCTACACCCCCATCCTTCTATTAAATAAATAAGTATTTTTGGGGGGATTTTGTCACTGACAACTGCTTTCAGCACTGAAATTATACAGGTGGCAGTCAGGCTGTGGTATTGGAATGGTGTGGTTTTTGTGCCTTTAACTTCCAAGGATTAGGATCTAGCAGCACGAATGAGTATCAATTTCTTTTCAGTGATTGGAAGCTTTCTAACTGAGTGATCTTAGCAGCCTAATTGACAATAAGGTTCACTTGGATTTCCTCCTCACCACTAAATGAGGATAATAAGACTTTTCACCCCAGTGATAATTATTTGGTATCTGTCACCGATTTTCTTCTTTTCACTCTACCTAGGAATGAACCTAGATCGATCTTATTTTAGTCAGTACTTTCTTCATCTCAGATCAGTTTCTGCCATTCTCTTATCTTAGGGTTGTTTTTTTTTTTCTCCTTTTTGAAAGAAGAAAAATACGGCCATAGCCCTCTTAGATGGGATTGGCTTTTCTCCCCCAAAGCATATTAAAATGAGCAAAATATTCAAGACAAATTAAACTCACCAATGACACCTTAATTGTACCATACATTATCCCCTCCTTTCTGGAAGTATGTTTTTCTTACATTTCCTTTTATAGTGCAGGCCAGTGTCAAAATTAACATAGTCTCTGATCAAATTCCTTCACATACCTGAAATGCTTTGCAAAATACGATATTCTTGGCATGGCCGTCTGTTGAAACAGCAGTGTCAAAATGAATCGATCTAAATTGCAGATGTGTTAATAAATCCCTTTGGAAGGTTTAGATGTTTAATTGAAAACAATGGCAACCATAGACAGCCTATAAGAGCTATGGTGCCTGTTTCTAGCTACTAATTGTATATGCCTTTTAAAATGACATAGATGCAATCTTATTAGTAAGTGTTCAGGGCAGAGCACCTAGTATTCACTAGTATGAACTACAAAAGAAAGCCTAGGGCCCTCCCTGGTGACACAGCAGATTAAAGTATAGCACTGAGAAGCTAAAGCCACTTTAGTATGAGTTCACCCCGGAGGTGACCCACATGGTGTGGCAGACCTCTCCTGGACCGCCCACTGCACCCCTCAGCCGTGTACTTTGTCGATCTGCCTGTTCTGCTCCCCACTCTGTCTCTGGTGAATCCTCTCACTGACCCTGCACCTCTGGCTGGTACCTCAACTCTATATGCATAAATAAATAAATCTTTAAAAAAGAAAAGTCTGGTGCTCGCTTCGGCAGCACATATACTAAAATTGGAACGATACAGAGAAGATTAGCATGGCCCCTGCGCAAGGATGGCACGCAAATTCGTGAAGCGTCCCATATTTTTTAGATGGGACTATATCAAGTTAAAGAGCTTCTGTACAGCAAAAGAGACATTACTAAAAACAAACAGAAAGATCACTAATTGGGAAAACATTTTC